AGACGGGTAAAAATAATTGCATAACTCAAAGCATGTAATCAATTCTACTGAATTATGCACGTAGAAACTGTTGAATTGGTGTATGTTTTGTTAAATATATTCTCAAAAATAACAAAATGGATTAAAGAAAAAAAGCGTGGGCGAAAAAATTTAAAGCTAACCCGAGTAAAGCTGGGAGAAGGGACTTGCGTTTGGGTATCTATGTTGATGGTACACTCTTAAACTGTGGTCCTGTGAATGTCCAAATAATCTTCACAGGACAGCACTATCTGAGGTGATGTGTGGGAAAGTGACACACACTTCCCACGCTGGGCTGTGAGGTGGCTGCCTGGCTGACAGCAGGCGGAGAATTCGTGGAACTTGGATGGCCTTCAGAACTTGTACCCTGTGAAGCTAGTCAGCTTATCTTATGGTATTTATTTTTACTTCAGGGAATTTACCGCCATGGGAAACCTGTCCCATTTGGTGGGCTGAATGCACAGAACAAGCTGAAAAAAATAAAACTACAGCTCCAGTGAAACAGAAGACCAGTTCAGTTCACTCCTGAGAAGGCTCCTTTTTGGAGGAAGGAAGTGTCTTTGTGATGCCAAGAGGAAAGTTTTGGGTGCAACAGTCTTCTGCATCTTCTCTTTTTGGGACACCTGTGGGCTTTGTTAAGATTTTTAGTGAGTTATCTTGAAGGTACCAATGAACGGCACTACTAGGGTATAGTGTATAATAGACACTAGCCTCGGAAATCAGATGATATCTCTCCTGCTGTATCCAGCTCAGTCCTTTCCAGTATGTGGTGGCCTCCTCCTGAAATGTGCCAGGAATTTTCCAGTGTGGTAATGATCCTGATAAGACAGGTTTAATGCTGTGTTGAGAAGGCTTAGGTAATCAAAGTATCATAGGTTTCAATTTACATTTTGTTTGTGTTCTGATTCACTACAGCCTGAGCCCTTCATGATCTAGAAGAACTTCTCATAAGTCATCGGGACAGGGAATGGATGTTAATTTGCACATTTGACCAAGTACCAACGTCATCTCTCAATTCATCTCTCAACTGGGAAACATAGTGATTACTACAGAATACTAGCAGAGTACATGTATATATTGTTGTTGATTGCCTTCGAGTTGAGCTTGACTCATAGCAACCCCATGAACAAAAGGCCTGAAGCCCCTTTACAACTATCGACATTTATCAACATTCATAGGGTTTCTAGAGGCATGTTATTTAGGAAGTGGATGCCACTCCTGCATAGATAAGTAAACGAATACTCTAAATCATGTATGTGTGAATGACCAGATGAATAAGCAGAGATGGGTTCCCATCAGAGCATGAAATATACTTAATACCTGATTTTATCCACAAATTAATTGTCAGCAAATAAAAGGAACAAAATAAAACCATGATGGTGGTAGGGGTTACGTACTCTTCTTTTATATATTTTATCCTCCTGAAGTTCATCTTTACTTGAAAACTGGAATACTTCCAGCAGCCCTCAGATTTTGCCAAAGAGACATCAACTGTTCTTCCCACTCACAAGGGCATAAGTAGCCCATGACAAGGGTGGGCAGGAAATGCAAATAAATCAGAAGCAGCTGATGGCTTCTTTTGGAAGAACTTGTGGAGCTTCCATCTGTGTAAAGTGCAACCCTATTCTGCCACAAGTTAACAGTATCTTTATTATCATGACAAAAAATAATGTCTCAGTTATCAGCTGTTGATATCAGCCCTTGAGTTGGAACTGACTCATAGATGACCCTCCAGCAACTTTTCAGAGACTACAAGTCACAGTTGGAAGCACAACTCTTTACCCAGTAGACCATAGAGCTCCTCCTTAGTCAATTAGAGCTTCTGTAACAGAGACACTACAAGTGAATGACTTTAACAAACCAAAATTTATTCTCTTACAGTTTAGGAGGGAATAGATCTGAATTCAGAGTGCCATTTCCAAGGAAAGGCCTTCTTTCAGTATCAGTCCTGAATGAAGGGCCTTGTCTCCTTCAGCATCTATAGTTGTTCCTTGGAGATCTCCATGTGTCTTGGCCTTCCCCAGTGTCAAGGTGTCTCTTAGTGCAGGGACCAGAGTCAAAAAGAGCACACTTCACTCCTGCTAATTCTCTCTTGGTGTCATGTAGGTCACTTTTCTTGGATTGCTTTCCTCCCCTTGTATCTCCTGTGAGATAAAGATGTTAAAGGCCACACTTATATCAGGTAAGAGTTGTGATGAGATTAAAAGTTATTACATTCCACCCTTAATCCTTTTATGACTATATGATGTAGCAGGTAGCTTTCACATTTTATCCTTACATGTATGTATGTCTAAAGACTAAGGTGTGCCTAATCCAGGTCATAGTTTTCAAAAGTCCTTGCTATGCATCAGAAAGCTGACTAGGGATGACAGGAGGAGAATTGATGCCTTTAAACTGTGGTGCTGAAGAAGAGTATTCAATACACCATAGACTCCTAGGAGAACAAACAAGTTCATTCTAGAGAGGGTCAAGCCAGGCTGCTTCTTGGAGGCAAGGGTTCTGAAGCTCCGTCTGACATAGTTTGGGCATGTTGCAAGGAGGAACTAGTCTTTGGAAAGGGATGTCATGCTTAGGAGGGTGGAAGGATGGCTCAAGAGAGGAAGACCTTTAATGAGATGAATTGACACAGTGACTAGGGTAATGAGGGTAGGGTGTTTCAGAGACAATAAGGTTAGCACAATACAGAGCAGGGTTCAAAGCTGTCATTATGAATCACAAGTGACTCAATGGCACATGACAACAGTTACAACATATGTATTCCACTCTTCATCCTTTTACAACTATATGATGTAGCAGGTAGCTTCCACATTTTATCCTTACATATAACTGGGAACCCAGTTCAATTCATTAACAACTGGCTAGTCTTAAAGCATTGGTAGAGTTTTAGGGAAAGAAAACTGTACTGCAAACAGCTGCTTTCTTAAAGGCTGGTAGTTCCAACCCACCCGGCAATTCCACCAGAGAAAGACTTGACTTTCATAAAAAGGAAAAAAGAAAAGAAAAAAATACTTGCTTTCATAAAAATTGGAAAAGTTTGTGGGGTATTCTATCTGTCACATGGGGTTGCTATATGTTAAAGCTTGACTCAAAAGCACCAAACAACTGAATTTGGGCCATAATAGAATAAAGTAGTATAGGGGACAGAAAAGGAAAATCAAGTTGTCCTGCGCTAAATCTAAGTGGTGAGATCAGGAGAAAGGCTAACGAGTTAGGAAGTTCTGTGATGATGAAAAGGGCTGCGTTCTAGATGAGCAGCATCATAAAAGACAATGAATTTTGTGTGACCCCAAAGAGGGTCTGTAGATGGGAGTGGAGGGAGTTAGCTTTTTTTGGGAGTTTGTACTAAGCAGATAGAACAGGTAGACGAAGTTTGAGGAGGTCACTTGGTCTGTTGTAACTCCTGAAGGAATGCACCCATTTTCCAGACTCACTGGGGATACTGAAAATAAAATTCTAAGGGAAATGCTCCCTGAACATGTAGATCGTACAATAGAATGGGTAGGTAATGGGAAGATTTTGAGAATGAAGTCCAAGGCTGGGGTGGTGCTTCCAGCTTCCATCGGGTTACCTGAATGCTCTAGACAAATCCCTGCACCCGTCTAAACTTCATCTTCTACACATAAGGTAAATTTATGTTACATTTCTAGGATTCATCTTTGTGCTGAGTTTCTAAGGCTCTGGTTGTATATTGGGTTATGTTCTGGTCTGGTAACTAACAGGTCATATGTTAGAATCCATCAGCCACTTAGGAAAAAGATAAAGCTGTCTGCTCCCATTAAGATTTATAGTCTTGAGGATGTGAAAATTAAAACTATACTGAGTGAAGAGAAAGGTAACACACAATAGTGATAATTCAATTCCACTGAGTGTTATATGAGTTGAAACCAACTCAGAGCTGACTTTTCCATGGGTTTTTAGAGGCTGTAAATCACATTGAAAGAGATAGTTTATCTCTCTCCAGCAGAGCAGCTGGTAGTTTCAAATCACCCGCCTTTGAGTTAGCAAGGCAGCTCTTGACCCACTAAACCACCAGCACTCCCAAGTGATAATTACTGACACATTGCAATTAAACAGTTAAATATAAACTAATGGAAGGGGCTCTGATGTCTTAGTGCTAACAAGTTTCACTACCAACCTAAAGGCACATGGTTCAAATCCACCAACTGCTCCAAGGAAAAAAGATGGGCTATCTCCATTCTTATGATTTACAGCCTTCGAAAACCCACTAGAGGGTCAGCTATATGTCAGTTCAGACTCGACAATATAAAATAACAATGACAACATTAATCAATGGTAATTAATGTTAAAAACCAAAAGGTTCATGAAAAACCAATACGATTTATAAACTTTCACTCAAATAACATAAATAAATTAAAAAGGGGGGAAATGAGTTAGAGCCTTTGAAACACAATACTCACCATGAGTTGAAAAGAACTCAATTCCCATGAGTTTGTACTTTTCTTTTCTCTTATTCTTGAGGAAAAAAAAACCAAAAACAAAAACAAAAAAACCAAACCAAACCCAAAAAAGCACCCCGTATTTATTTAGTGTTCACTTCATCAATTTGTTGTTATTTTCATTAATTTCTTTTTATTTCAAATTCAAGTAAATAGAATTCCATTGTATTTCATTTTTCAATAGCATGAATAATACAATTCTACTTTTGTAAAGTTGTATCCATTGTACATTTCTTCAGTAGTGTTTTCTTTGATCTAATTAAGTATTCATAGAGAGATGTCAAAAACAGTGCTCCCCAAGTTCCTTCATTTGAAAAGTTTTTAATTGCTTGGCTTTTAGTGTCATGTCATTTCTACAAATAAAAGTGTCTTTATTATTAGCAGTAAACATAAAAAGACAATGAAGTGTTAGGACTCTAAGGTCAGGAAAATGGTAGCCATACTCAGCAGTGTTGGGAAGGTGGGTTTTGGGAAGGGGTCTGTTTGTACAGTAATGCCCTCATGTCACTTGGTTGTTCTCTTCAGGTACCAGACTTGTTCCAACAATGGCCTGGTGGCTGGGTTCCAGAGCCGCTACTTCGAGCCAGTGCTGGATCGGGAGTGGCAATTTTACTGCTGTCGCTACAGCAAGAGATGTCCATATTCCTGCTGGTGAGTCTGGCAGTCACCCTGGACCCCACACAGATTCTTGGGACAGGAGAGCATGAGAATTTTCTGTTTTCAGATAGGCCTTGGCTGGGAATATAGTTACCAGCTTATAGAAGAGGAAGCTCTAACGGCATAATAATCTATAGAGAGATGAGCTATTAAACTGAAGGCCTCACCTCTCTGGTGGTTCAAACCCCTCAACCACTCTGTTGGAATAAAATAGACAATCTCTTCTCATACAGTGTGTTGTTATGTGCCGTCAAGTCGCTGGCAACTCACAGAGACCCTATGTACAACAGACCTAAACTCTGTTCTGTCCTGTGCCAATCTCATTGTCTCCTGGGATGGGGAGAGGGTGTGTGTCAGCTATGAGTTGGTTCTGACTTGCTGTTGATAAGCTTGAGTTGAAGGGGTTTTGTGGAGCATATAGGAGGAAATGATCAAAACAAACATATGCATGTAAGAATGCATGGAAAGCTAGAATGCTCATGCTGGGAAGTATCCTAGAAGTAATGCTATCCACTGCTTCTACATCCCTCTTTAGATAAAGGAGGACATTAAAGAGGAAGAAAATTGCTTGCTTAAAGTCACCCAGATATTTTATAGATGTGCCAAGTTTAAAGTTGTGATTGATCTAGCGATTCCTGTTCCTGTGCTCTTTTTTCTTTGTCATTTTCATTTTTCATTGCATTACAGACACTCTTCAGAAGAAACGAATCCTTTCATAGGTCAGAGTCTCAATCCTAGCGTATAATTTTATATAGAAAAAAATTACTATTTTTTCTAGATCAAGTTGTAATTCCAGACTGGAAATCTTTACTCCTTTCCCAGGACTGATAGAAACAATTCCCTGACCTAACACTGTAATTGACTACAGGAGTATGTCTTTATTTATTTATCCTGGTAACTTACACCAAGTGTTGACTGCACAACTTGTCTCAAACTCTACCATCTACAAACAAGCCACACATCTCGGTCTCAGACAACAGTTTCCAAGTGTGTGAACATAACTTACTGCAGTGAGCTATCACTTTATCGTGTGTTGCTTGGAAGGAAAGTCTTAAAGGCCAGGCTTGTTCTCTGTAATCACATCTCTAGAGATAAGCAACTCCAGAAGTGTAACTTTTTCCTTTTTTAATAAATATGAATAATAAACTAAGGGATGAAAGGCAGCCAATAGAGAAGGGGCCTTCTCTCGGAAATTATTTCCATATGCTACTATTGTTAGACCTAAGGTGCCTCTGATACAGGCCATGGTCTTTGCAATCACTTGTTATGCATCAGAGAGTTGGACAATGACTAGGGAGGATAGAAGGAGAATTGATGCCTTTGAGCTGTGGTGCTGGAGAAGAGTATTGAATGTACCATAGACTGCCAAGAAAACGAACAGATTCATCCTGGAAAGGGTTAAACCAGGCTGCTCCTTGGAGGCAAGGATTCTGGGGCTTCATCTGACATAATTTGGACATGTTGTAAGGAGGGAGAGGTCATTGGAGAGGGACATCATGTTTGGGAGGGTAAAGGGAAGGCACAAGAGGGGAAGGACCTCTATGTGGTGGATTGATTCAGTGACTGGGGTAATCGGGATGGGTGTGTCAGAGGCAGTGCGATTGGCACAGGATAGAGAAGGGTTTAGGGCTGTTGTACATAGGGTCGCTATGAGTCACAAGTGACTTGATGGCACATAACAACAACAACTGTTGTTAGAAGCCATTGAGATGACTATGAGTCATAGTGACCCTATGAACAGCAGATCTGAACCCTGCCCTATCCTGCGCCATCCTCATCATCTTACATATTTGAGGCCATTTTTATAGTCACTGGGTCAATCCATCTTGTTGAAGGTCTTCCTCTCTTTTGCTGACCTTCCACCATGAAGCTTGATGTCTTTCTCCAAGGGCTTCACATAGCACTTCGTATTTAGCGATCTCAAGAATCCATGGGAGCTCCTGGATCAAAGAAGATTGTGAGATCTCACATGGTTGAGCAAGTGAAAAGAGCAAGCTGTAGACAACAAGTAATGTGTGCTCAAATCTATTCTTTTCACATATGCTTCTACCTGTAACTGTTCTTGTAAATGTCACTTTAATTCTCTAAAAACAAAAACAAACAAACAAAACCAGGCAAACAAGCAACCAACTAAACCCACTGTTGTTGAGTCATTTCTGACTCATGAAACCCACATGTGGTAGAAGGTAGAACAGATCTATAAGATTTTTGGTTTGGGTTTTTTTCCTGTAATTTTTTTGAAGCACCTGTTCAAGCCTTTTTTCTATGGATCCACTGGATGGATCTGAACACTCAGCCTTTAAGTTAAGCCATTGTGATGTTAGCCTAAATGTTGGCTTTTCTTAGTCTTTACAGTTAGCCCCCTCTGGTCTCCAGCTACCTTGACTGCAGACATGTAGTCTTTCAAAGCACCAACAACTGTGGAACTAGAATAAGATAACAAGTGCTTCCCATACTGGGCAGCAAGACTTGAGATAAGCACAACTGTGGCAGCAGGACGTGAGGGAGATCCTGGTGGTGAAGAGACTGTCACATTGATGTGGAGAAACTGTGTTAAGGTGTAAGTAGAGGGGCCCTGAGGTAAAGGCCACAGTTAAAGGTTTTTGCTATTCTTGCCAGAAGCTTGAAGGTAAAGCTGACTTACAACTGTGTTGCGCACCTTGCCTGTCCAGCAGGAATAAGGACACAACACACCAGTGATTCCTTCTCACGGCGGTTTATTCAGGAGTTAGTTACAGTTAGGGAGAAAACATGGAGTTCCCTTTGGACCCTTCCAGGGTGCGGCTTATATCTCTCTCTTGGTACTCCGCCCATCAGTCTCATGGGTCATGCCTCCATTAGACCATTAACCCCATGTGAGATCAAGCCATTGACCAATAAAGACATGGTGACCAAATAAGGTCTTATTTGTGATTAAGGCAAACAAAAGGAAGCAGGAAATCAGCGCCATCTTGTAATGGCGACTGCACACGGCCTTCCACACAACTGCAGTGGGGCAAACCTTGCTTGATGATTTGGATTTGATTACCAAACTCAATCCAGAGCCTGGACTAATTCAGGCATTGTGCCTTGGAACTTGGGCTAAAACCTAGATTTGTTTTGGGTGAGATTCTTTGCCTCTTTCACTCTCCAACTTACTTCCCTAATAAACCACATTCTCAGTACAACAACTGTGAATCTGTGCGTCAACAAAGAATAAACAAACCTCTTGCTTTTGATGTGGTTCTAGGGGTACCTTGGGAATGTGCTATGGTATTTTTATCTTCTTTCTGCTCTGAAGCAGAGGGTCTGTGCTATTCTATCTATGGCTCTTCCAGAAAGACACTTATGGTCCTGTACTCCTATGTTCCATTTTCTCCTCTCTACACAGCCATGTAAACCAAACTCACTGCCATCAAGTCAACGTCAACTCATGATAGCTTTCTGTTGGTTTTCTGAATGTGTTAATATTTTGCTGAATGACTAGTGTATTGAACCCTTGGACTTTTGATTAGCAGCCCTATTTGGTGCCTGGTCATAAAAAGCTGCACTACAATCCCAAAGGCACACAGTTTGAATCCACCATCTGCTTCACAGGACAAAAATGGGCAATTAACTGCTTCTGAAAACCCACCAGAGGGTCAGCTATGGATAGATTCTGGTTTGATGAAACACAACAATGACAGAGCCGTAAGTTGCTTTCACCATTTAAGGATATTTACTTCTCCAAGGGGATTTCAAATCTATCACTTAAAATCATGACAATACTTTCTGCTATCTGTTCTACTTTATGTTGACCTAACCATAGTCCTAAAGGAGATATTATTTTTCTCTGAAGTCTGTAGGTGCAAGATATCACCATCTTTCTCCAGAGGGTCTTTCTTCTATGCCAAACACATGAAAGATTTTGCAGTTTATAACCAAAAGGTCTTAACATACATTACTGATAAATCCTTACAGTTAACCCTCAAATAAAAAAATAAGAATAAGATTGAGAAAGCAATTTTTTAAAAAAATTATTTTCTTTTGTCCCCCTTGTTGTGTACCGTAAAATTGGTCCAATTGTCACAGGAGGAGATTGCCCCTCCTTCTCCAGCAGAACATCTGGCTCATTCGAACTGAGTGCCTTTATGATTGTAAGGCAGCTTCTTGCCACTAGGTCACCAGAGCTCCCTGATAATGCAATTTTTAAGGTAAAAGAGTAAAGATAAATTTATTAGAAAGCTACATCCCTGCAGTGGTATCAGGATCTGAGGAAGATCCATCAATAACAGGCATAATGACCCATCAATAGTCTGTATTATGCAGATGATACAACTGAAGAGGACCTGAGGCATTTGCTGCAGAAGATCAAGGGCTGCAGCTTTTAGTAGGTATTGAAGCTCAACATCAAGAAAACAGATTTACACCACTGGGCCAATTGGCAGCATCATGATAAATGATAAATGGCGAAGAGATTGAGATTGTTAACAGTTTCAGCTTGTTTGGCTCCATAATCAACACTATTGGTAGTGTTGTTGTTGTTAGGTGTCATCAAATTAAGAACACTCATAGTGACCCTATGAACAAAGATCTGAACCCTGTTCTATCCTGTGTCATCCTCACACTTCCTGACACACCAGAGCCCATTGCAGCAGTCACCTTGTCAGTCTACCTCCTCTTCTTTGCTGACCCTCCAGCCTTCCCAAAATCATGTCCCTCTCCAAGGACTAGCACCTCCTAGAAATATGTCCAAAGTATGTGAGTTGAAGCCTCATCATTCTTGCCTCCAAAGAGCACTATGACTGCACCATGTCCAAGACATATCTGTTCATTCTCTTGGCCATCCATGAAATGTTAAGTGCTCTTCTTCAACACCACAGCTCAAAGGCATCAATTCTTTTTTTGTTATCCTTATTCATTATCCAGGTCTTGGATGCACAGCTAGTAATCAGAAAGACCATGACTTGAATCACTTTAGTCCTCAAACTGATATCATTACTCCTTAATAATTTGGAAAGATAACTAAATTGCAG